CAAATACACACACATACATCCCTAGTTGCGAGTCGATGCTTGATTCAACTGGGGACACTTTGATAAAAATAACATACACACACCCCAGTTGCGAGTCGATTATCGACATGCAACTTGGCACCCTAGTTGCGAGTCGATGCTTGACATACAACTAGGGACCCCTTGACAAATAGACAAACACACACAACACTCCTAGTTGCAACTCGGTTATCGACATGCAGTTGGGGACCCTCGACACACACACACACACAACACACATCCCCGTAGTTGCGAGTTGATGGTCAACTTGCAACTGGGGGCCACGAATAGGATCCAACAAGAGTACGGGCACACAACTAGGGGGGTACGGGTGCAACTACAATCAACCCCCCCCCCTAAAAAACAACCCACGACCATACTCTTGAGTTGTAGTTGCACTCGAGCTGGGTCGGTTTCAAATACAACAAAAAAAATTGAAAAAGACTTCGCCGGCGCTGACACCCTCTCTCCGACCCCCGGTTGTGGTAGGTCTTGCTGTTGCGCTACAGTGCTCTGAGTTGCGCTTGCGCCCGGGTTGGGGCGGTTGCAACTGTAACAAAATAAACAAAAAAATTAAAAGAAAGACTTCGCCGGCATACACACACAACCTTTAAAACAATAAAAAAATTGAAAAAACTAAAAAATCTATATTTCCAAATAGAAAGGAAGAAATAAAAGTACACAACGAAACTATAACTGAAACTAGTTGGACAGTAGAAAGGTTGTGTGTGTATTATGTTTCTTGCAAATTGTGCATAGTTTGGTTGTGTGTGCAGTTACACGCGAACGACAGAATATATGAGTAAAAGTTTTAAAAACAAAGAAAGAAAATGAAATGATTAAAAAGTTGGGCCCTTTCATCTCACTACTCTTTCCCACTTTCTATACAAAAGAAGAAATAGAAATCATAAAAAGGAAAAAAAAACATTGTATTGAGAAAAAACAACCTGAACACAGCTGTAGTTGCAGTCAGACTACAATGTTTGCAATTGCAACTCTAATGATGGACATGCAACTAACCCAACAAACCTCCTTCCGACCCCAGTTTCAATCGGATTACAACACATACAGTTGCATGTCTAGTACTAGTAGACATGCAACTGCAACTGGTAAAACAACCATTAATAATTATACTAAAAAATCTCCTTTTTTTGAAAAATCTACATCAATTATTTTACATAAAATAAAGTACTAAAAATTGTATAGGTTCAAACAATGGAAAAGGATCTCTTAGGAAAAAGAAACAACCGCTGCTGAAGACAAGAAACAGAGGGATACAAATGCGACAATGATGCTTGGTGGCATTGGACAGAGAAACAAGCTTAGCTTCTGAATATAAAAAGAAAAAAAAGCCACCTTAAAAGGCTGCTCCAGTGCTCCCTACATGGGCCACCGGCTTGCACTGCTCGTACGACGACACGAACAGCCGGTTCGCTCATCTCGCACGAATAACTGCGCTTTTAATCCAACGGCTGACAAAGTGAATGAGACCAAAATAAATCTCAGCTAGCTGAGTTTTAGCAATCCCGCAAAAAAAAAAGAAATCAAAATTACGTCAGGATATTGTGTTGGATTCTCAGTTATTTAATACTTCCACTGTCCGGAAATACTTGTCATCAAAATGAATAAAAGGATGTATCTATATGTATGTTAGTTCTAAATACATCCCCTTTTTATCCATTTTGATACAAGTTTTTTCGGACGGAGGGAGTATGTATACAGTATAGTTTTGGATTACTGCTCATTTTATGAGCTACTTTGAACCTTACGACTATGTTACATTTTTATTTAATAATATGACTGCATGCATCGATTGATGGACAGGCCGGGGGTCATCCTCCTTTTTAAAAAAAAGTCTTGCATCCAGTAAATTTTGAATTATGCGTGTATGATGCAGAGTTTTGCTGGCGACGGCGTTGTACTACTGCGCCCTACGGGCCACCAGCGCCGCCTATACCGTCAACTTCTTCAACCTCATCCCCGTTGTCACCTTCCTCATCACCGTCGTGCTCCAGGCCGAGCGCATCTCCCTCTGCACCTGGCCCGGCAGGATGAAGCTGCTCGGCGCGGTAGTGGGCATTGCCGGCACCATGGTCGTCAGCCTCTGCAAGGGCCCTCATCTCCCGCTGCCGCACCTCCGGCCGTCCTATGCCCACGCTCACGCCGGCCCGCCGGCACCGGCGTCGGTGGTCCTCAGCGGCCACGACATAGCCGTCGGCACGCTGTTCATGTGTGGGAGCTGCGTGAGCTACGCGCTCTGGTTCGTGGTGCAGGCCAGGGTTGCCAAGGTGTTCCCGTCCCGATACTGGTCCACCGCGCTCACGTGCGCCGCGGGCAGCCTGCAGTCTACCGCGGCCGCCGCGGTGGCGGCCGTCCTGGCACCCCGCGAGGGCTGGGCGGCGGAGTGGAGGCTGGGGTGGGACCTGCGTCTGGCCACGGTGGTGTACTCCGGGGTCTTCAACACGGGCGTCCGTTCGTGCTCGTGTCGTGGGCGGTGGCGCGGTGCGGGCCCGTCTACCCGCCCATGTTCAACTCCCTGTCGGCTGTCGCTCGTTGCCACGACTGTGGTTGACGCCGTCATGCTCGGCACCGACATCTACCTCGGCGGTGTTCTCGGGGCGGGCCTCGTAGTCATGCGGCTCTACGCGTTCCTCTGGGGCAAGGGCAAGGAGCTCGCTGCCGCCAAGGCGGACAACGGCGAGCAGAAGCTGCAGCGTGGAGACGCCGATGATGGCATTGCCTAGCGGTTTGGCCTGGCAAGCCAGAGCAGTCCATACGGAATTAACTGAGCTAGTCAGTCGTAACCTGAAATTGTCCTTGACAAACACTACTACATGAGGATTTTTTACTCTCTCTCCCAAACGGTATTGTGCTGACGTTCGCTAGTGCATGGCAAATTAAACATTTTTCATGGCAATTTTACATTATCACGAGGATGGAAAATCTTAACCAAGCACGACAAATCCTATGATTAAAAGAAGGAACTGCTAAAGAAAATTGCAATGCTCAGACAATATAAATTGCCATAAAAACCGTTTGATTTGCCATGCCCTCCAGCAAACATGTGCTGCTATCAAAATCCTTTTTTATACAAGATCCCTTCTTTGTTATTGATGGTCTAATAATGATTGTTATGATTAGCCAGTCCATGTGCACTTGTCTAGCTAGTAGAATAAAGAAGGGATTAGTCAGTCACCGAACCTACTCGTATATTCAACCTACTCAGGTGCTAACTGCTGCTATATGTACGAAAGTGCTTACGTGAGCTCGAGCTGACATGCATCATTTGCTACAGTATAATTTTAAAAAAAAGTTCAGAAAAAACTGATTTTTTTTGCCAACAAACATTGTTGTGTTTTTCACATGCGTGCAAAATTTCGTGACAAAATGGCATTCATGCAGGTCATGGCAAAAACAAATAAAATCCATGCTCCAAAATGCTTCCAAATTTTTTTTTTGGAGCATGATTTTGCCGGGACCTCCACAAATGTAATTTCAACACGAAAATTGGCGACCGCACCTTCACTTTGCGAGTCTTATTGCCGCCACTCATGGAGACAACAGATGGAAGACACATTCGTGGGAAGGGAACAACAAGGACTTGGACGACGGACGCCGCTGTAAGCTAGGTTTAGGTCCGATCCTCCTTTTTTTTCTTAATGAAAATTATCCGAAATGTAATGAATTTTGTCCGGTCTATATGAAAATCATCCGGTTTTCATGTAATTCGTCCGGTTTATTGAAACTAGGCTTGAAATGCATGTGTATAGCTTTGGATGGCCACCACACGCCTATGTGTCCACGGACTGCCCCCCCCGGCCCCCTCGGTCCACGGACGGATGCAGTGTCCGGTTTGCGTGTCAGCGTGGAGATGCCCTAAGATTATCTTTCTGAGGACATCCTGCAATGCTTACCTTCGACTTCTCGATGCCCGCTAAAGGATGCAATGTCCCGATCGCCTGCGGTGAGAGCGGTTATTTGTACAAGTAGGTAATCCTGCAGCTTGAGCTGGGCGCGCTCTACTTTGCTCAGTTCTGGCAAGGATAACCAAAGTAAGGTATACATAACGAAGATGGTAATTTCAGCACCCCAATGAGAGTGACTGGTTGTAAGAGTAATAGAAACCTGGGTTTTGATTGGCGAAGTTCCCTTATTTGCATTGGAAGTGGCTAAAATGATTGTATGAATGCTGGTTGATTAATATATGTATAAGTGCTTTCAATTAAAAAAAGAGAGTGGCTGGCCCTGATTATAGCATCAATATTAGCAGCCCCAGCTGTACTTTATGAATTATTAGCATGTTTGTGCAAAATATTTGGTATTTAGATGGGTTGATTTATTTCTTTGGAGGGAGGGGGGTACGTACCTTGGTATCTGGATCAAATTTTGGAGCATTATGCGTGTATGGAAATATAGTGAATATTCGATGTAATCAACCACTACCTTTTCTTTTTTGCGGGAATCAACCATTATATACCTACCACACACAACGCAAGCCAACCATCATGTTATTGCCTTGTTCGTTTCCTACATATTGCAAGTTTGCAACCTCACTACGTAGCTAGCTCTCTCCCATCCTCTCTCTCTCTCTCTGGCATTGCGTTGCTCGTGCGTCCCAAGAAGTAAAGCTCGGGCCCTCACTTTGAGAATGGCGGCGGCAGAGGGCAGCAAGGAGGAGACGGGGAGGAGGAAGGCAGAGCGGGTGGCGCTGCCGGCGGGCATGCTACTGGTGCAGGTGTTGACGGTGGTGACGATGCTGTTGTCCAAGGCGGCGCTCAACGGCGGAATGCAACCCCTGGTCCACCTCGTCTACCGCAACCTCGTCGCTGCCGCCGCCGTTGCCCCCCTTGCCGTCGTCTTTGAGAGGTGCGTGTGCGATCGATTGAGCCATGGTGCGCAATATCAGTTAGTTTTGAACCATTGTATCCACGTTCGGCGAAACACGTACATCATTCATGAATGCATGCATGAAATGTCATTTGTTTTGCTTAGCTAGGTTGACTGACGGACAGCATGAACGCATAGGTATACACATGCCCGTACTTATAGCCGCCAGGTGTATGCTCATCGATCTGATCATTTGGGCACATGACAGTCGCAACCGCCAGCTGTAGGCACGCTCGTCGATGATCGGATCATTCACATGACAACATCTGCAGCCACGTCTGGATTATGGAAGGAGTTTTTTTTTCCTTTTAAGTACTGTTTTTTTTTAAAGGACAACATATTTCCCTAGCATGCATGCATTTTTCCATTTGATTCTCTGCACTTGCATCATCTGTTCTTCTTTCATTAATATAGCTACCGCGCCACTGTCGTTGATTATTGCAGGGAAATACTGAAGAAAGTGAACATGGTTGTTTTGGGCTGGATCTTCATCAACGCTACTTTCGGGTTCGCATCCAACTATAGTATACTGCAGCCTGCAATGCAATGCGCTTGCATGCTCCTACATTTGTTCATGTCCTCAGTTTATTGCGATGTGACTTTTGATCTGTACAAAATTATTGCTCTGTTCATAATCTCGATCCTTGATGGTTTCTTCGATCCTTGATGTTTAAAACAGGGATATCTTATTAGCTTTAGGCCAGGCTAATCCATGCTACTAATATGGTAAACGTCTATGTTACATTTTGACGATTTTTGTTGTCCTCCCACTTAGTCAAATTATCATAATGTGGTTATTAGTATATATTGAAGTAATGTGGTTATTAGTATCTAAATTTTACCACGATAACAATGTATGATTACTGTGCTAAATATGTATGATTGCCAGGTAAATATTTATTAGGGATAGTAGCATCGCTGTGAATGGCCAGGGTGAGTATTAAAATGTTACTCTAAATAAGTAAAAGATGAGGTGAGGCTCTAAAACTACTACTCCTCTGTCCCATATTAATTGTCGCTCAAACGGACGTATCTAGCACTGAAATGAGACTGAGGGAGTATCAATCCAGAGTAGCGTTATGTAGCCTGATAACCATGTTCTTTCCTTTTTGTTGTAACTAATTAATTTACTATCACCTCTATCGCAACCAAATGGTTGTACAAGCATGTAGCCCGACAACTAAATGACTATAATTTTGCAATTACCAATGAAATATTATGAAACATGTCAACATGGGACTAAGTTTGCAAATCTCATCACAGTGTAGCAGCCATCAATGAAACATTTGGTTAATCTGTTTAACGGTTGGTGAAATAAGAGTTTTTGGAAGTTTTCAAAAACATCTTTTTCGGTAATTGTCTTTGGCTCCTAGGTGCATATGCACCCATTGTCGAAATACACATTTTGAAAAGTTAAAAAATTCGAAACAAAAATCCCGCGTGTATATCCGGACATTTTATGTGCGTGCGCAAGGTTTCAGTGAAAAACTACGTTTTTTGTGGCTTGTGTAGAAAAGACAATTTCTGATGCTTCATTCTAACTATTCACGAGACATTTCTTTATCTTTTTTGCACAAGCCACAAAAAACGTCGTTTTTCACTGTAACCTTGTGAACGCACATAAAATGTCCGAATATACACGTGGGATTTTTGTTCCCAATTTTTTAACTTTTCAAAATGTGTATTTTGACAATGGGTGCATATGCACCTAGGAGCCAAAACGCCGCTCTCCATTTTTTTTCATATTGTTATGTTTGCATGTCTACTCTCTTTGTTTGCATGCATGTGTGAGAAAGTGGCACAAAAATAACAGACATCGAAATTACTTGAGGCTATTATGTTGGATTCTCAGTTATTTAATATGTATTTAGTATAGTCTTGCATCCAATAAATTTTAAATTATGCGTGTATGATGCAGAGTTTTGCTGGCGACGGGGTTGTACTACTGCGCCCTACGGGCCACCAGCGCCGCCTATACCGTCAACTTCTTCAACCTCATCCCCGTTGTCACCTTCCTCATTGCAGTGGCGCTCCAGGCCGAGCGCATCTCCCTCGGCACCTGGCCCGGCAGGATGAAGCTGCTCGCCGCGGTAGTGGGCGTTGCCGGCACCATGGTCGTCAGCCTCTGCAAGGGCCCTCTTCTCCCAATTTCGCACCTCCGGCCGTCCTATGCCCACGCCCACGCCAGCCCGCCGGCACCGGCGTCGGTGATCCATGGCGGCCACGACATGGCCGTCGGCACGCTCTTCATGTGTGGGAGCTGCGTGAGCTACGCGCTCTGGTTCGTGGTGCAGGCCAGGGTTGCCAAGGTGTTCCCGTCGCGATACTGGTCCACCACGCTCACATGCGCTGCGGGCAGCCTGCAGTCTGCCGCGGCCGCCGGGGTGGCGGCCGTCCTAGCACCCCGCGAGGGCTGGGCGGCAGAGTGGAGGCTGAGGTGGGACCTGCGCCTGGCCACGGTGGTGTACTCCGGGGTCTTCAACACGGGCGTCACGTTCGTGCTCGTGTCGTGGGCGGTGGCGCGCCGCGGGCCCGTGTACCCGCCCATGTTCAACTCCCTGTCGCTCGTTGCCACGACTGTGGTTGACGCCGGCATGCTCGGCACCGACATCTACCTCGGCGGTGTTCTCGGGGCGGGCCTCGTCGTCATGGGGCTCTACGCGTTCCTCTGGGGCAAGGGTAAGGAGCTCGCTGCCGCCAAGGCGGACAACGGCGAGCAGAAGCTGCAGCGTGTACACGCCGATGATGGCATTGCCTAGCGGTTTGGCCTAGCATGCCAGAGCAGTCCATACGGAATTAACTGAACTATTCAGTCCAAACTTGAAATTGTCCTTGACAAACACTACTACATGATGACTTATTTTTTCTCTTTCCAAAACGGTATTGTGCTGACGTTCACTAGTGCATGGCAATTGAACGTTTTTCATGGCAATTTTACATTGTCACGAGGATGGAAAATCTTAACCAAGCAGGACAAATCCTATGATTAAAAGAAGGAACTGCTAAGGAAAATTGCAATGCTCAGACAATATAAATTGCCATAAAAACCGTTTGATTTGCCATGCCCTCCAGCAAACATTTGCTGCTATCAAAATCCTTTTTTTATACAAGATCCCTTCTACGTTATTGATGGTCTAACAATGATTGTTATGATTAGCCAGTCCATGTGCACTTGTATGGACTGCTCTGGACATAGCAAGCCGGAGTATTGGGGCATTTGATAACATAGCAAGCCAGAGTAGTAGAATAAAGAAGGGATTAGAGTGACTGACTAATCCCTTCTTTATTCTACTACTGACTAATCCCTTCTTTATTCTACTATTCTGGCTTGCTAGGCCAAACTGCTATGAGATTATTTAGTCTCTTGGTTGATCCTTATGAAATGGAACTGATTGAACTACGTTTCGAATTTAGCTCAAAATATTATCATTTTTAGCAAGTACACGAGGATAGGAATTATATTTATAAATTATTGCCACATTCCGAAGAACTTATGACTTAAGCTTAGGGAAGACTTAAATCACCAATACTCAAATGCCCCAATAATGAGTTTTCCAAAGAGATGATTATTACAAATTTCTAAGCAAGACTTCCTCAACATGATAAAGAAGCGGTTATAGTTCTTTCGGTTGTTGAAGTTATGTATAAAAGCATGTGGACAAAATTACTAGGACATACATTTTCAGTTTATATGGATAAAACATTCATAGTCAGGCCTTAAGGTTCTCAATCTAGCCTTAATGCGCGAAACTATTCTAACATGCATGGTAAAATAATGTACAAATTTATACCGCAGTGACAATGACTCATCCACAAGATGCTTAGCAAACTCCAAATTTGAACACTAACAGAAAGGGATAGAGCTCCCAAATTTGAACAATAATAGAAAGGAATAGAGCTCACCATCGTGGCCCCACCGCAGCTGAAGAATGAGGAAGCACATGTCGGGTCTATGACTGCACACACATGCGTGGTAGACCCGGCGTCCGACGGCCGGGCAGAAGGCAACTTTTGGATCAGACAGAGTCCAAATGTTGCCACGGCCGATGGAACAAAACAACAATGTTCATGAAGGAGTGAAGGTGCGGTAGCACTAGATTGTTGATCCGCTTCTTTGCGACTCCGGATGTCGGCCGCGGCATCAGACTGTCTCCGACCGACGCCGCCAGAACAGAGGGAGGTACAAGAGGAAGGAATGTGGGTGGATGGAAAGTGGGAAGGAAGGGGGAGAGGTGCTGCTGGGAACGGTGAAAAGATAGTGGCACCAGGGACGGTTAGTGAGAGTTTTGATTGTGGAGAGCAGCAGTGAATGACTAATTTTAATAGGCCGCGAACAAACCAACACTGACCAGATGGAAAACTGAAGGGTCTAATTTGAATAGGCTACACATACAAGTCAAATATAGAAGACAGTTAGTGAAAACGTTTGGTTCATTTTGGTCAGCGGAGCACGTTATCACAGATCGACCATTTTTGTACCCATCTGTGATATGCATTTAGCAGAGCCAAATAAACATTTTCACTGATGCCTCCGGAGTGGCCAGTTAGTGCTAATGCTCTTTACTGCCGTATCGTGTGGTCACGGCCTCACGGGATGGTCAGTGATGAGAGGTTAGTGCTATTCAGATCTGTAGTAATGTTGAAGCGCTTCGGGCATATGGAGGAGATTGGGTCAACCAAAGAGTGAGGTCTTTTCCATAGATGGCCGGACTAGGAGGCGAAGAAGGTCTTTGGCATGGACAGCTGGACAGCTAACTTTTGGGATTGTCTGAATGTAAACACTTATTGAACATCCGATGCTTCTTGATTGTGATTGCATATGCTTACAACTATTAAAAGTATGTTTAAATTGTTATTGGTATGCTGTCAAATGCAGGAGGCCAGAGCAGGGGCGGACATTTGATGCCTGCGGTTGGACGACCTTCGCCACCCTCAAACTGTTCACAAATACATCCAGATTTCCGGACATGTTTGTCTGGCATCTCTCTGCATTCTGCAAGCGAACATCCCTTGGTCGACGGAAGCAACAAGAAGAATCAGCAGCTTAAGGCGTGACGAGCGCTGGATTTCACCCTGCATGCAACACAAAGGAGTTAGCTTGCGCACCGTTGCAGCTCTGCTTCTGATCGGTGGATCTTCAAGGCATGCACATGGTGACGGCTTTCGTGCCGTCGGAGATGGCCTGCTTGGCAAACTCAATGGCTCTTGATGAACAGTAAAACTAAAAAATTTAGAAAAACTAAGAAAAATCTGCAATGCTTTGTGGTAAACTTTGACAAACGCTTTGTGTGTTTGCCAAAATTTGTCAATGACATTTGGAAAAAAAAACTCAATGCTCCAAAAATGCTATTTTAGAAATCATTTTTGGAGTGCTGATATTGCTTTTTTTTTGCCATGACCTCCACGAATATCATTTCTGCTAAAATCTGTCAAGCACACAACATTTATCAAAGTTTGCCAAGATAAATTCAGAAATTATGATTTGTTTTGGATTTACTGTTTATCATGAGCAGAAAAGGACTTCGATGCTGACGAAACCTTTTTGGACCCATGTTGAGCACAGCAGAATGGAGCTACCTTCTGCTGCTACTCAACTTGGCCCTCAAAAGAATCTGATTGCCAAGAGATGCAGGTCACCAACTTAGTCGTTGGGGCCAGACTTGTACCGATGTTTCTTACGACAACTGTTCATCACTGTACCTAAAAATCACAACCACAGCTGCAAACAAACTTAGTACTGCCAAAAAATAAGAGAGTCTCCCCAACCCGTGCCTTAACGGCCTTAGTACACGTGCATCGATCACTTTTTTTACCCGAAAAGGCATCTAGGTCCATCACATCAAGCGGCGTACGGTCGTAAGCTAGTATTTCAGGGTTCAGATTAGGGAAGTTACAAACACTTCATACTTGCTAGACATGATCAGCTTGTGCTGATATATAATTTCTTCTTCCACATCTATTCCTTCCTCAAGCTCGTGCCATTTGGGATAGCACCAAAATGGCTTAGGCACGGGCCATCTGTCCAGAGTAAAACATAAATAAGCTGCTAAAATAATATACATCTCTAGCAAGCAGTGTTAATGAACGCGTAGTAAATAAACAATACCTGTTTGGGCTATCATCATCGTCTCTAGCAACAGTCCTACAAACAGACCAAAATAGTTTTACATACAAGAACAAACACACGCATGTGAGGACGAAGATCAAAACCACGTAAGTCAGTTCACTACTTCATATGTCTGAACAATAAGAAGCGAAATGGTTCAACCACAAAAGCAAGTTGGGATTTAAGAACTAGCATGAGTTCCAAATTAAAAGTAACCTGAAAATAACAACCAAAACCAACCCATATTTACCATTATAGTTCCAGGTTAGAGTGATGCCATGAGAGTATGAGACATACGATACGATACTTCCATAAATCACAAATGTACGTACAATCAAACATGCTCAACTGCCGGCCACAACTACAGGACGGTCTTTATCGTACCAGTGTCGTATGTTATTTATCATATGCACAGCAGTTCTATTCAAGCTTCTAATTAATGTGCTCAGTATAAGAAGATCAAAATGGTGACAAATGTCCTATCGAGGCTACTAAACTTCCTCAAGATTGAATATTATGCACACGCAAGACATCTGTAAAAACATTACATAAATATAGAAAGCATACCCTTGTGCATCAAAATTCTTCAAGACTTTTAGAATTATATTGACTGGTATGTATGGAGCCTCTTCTAAGCCATAGAAGTTCATGCCACTAAAATTTCCATCAAAATCAATAAGAGGCCCTCCGATCCCAGCCTAGCACACACACAAAAGTAACAAATAGGAAAAAACAATATTTGTAAGCCATACAGATGTGATGATGGATTAGTTACTCATTCTGACGCAACTATTTATTTCCACCACACGAAAAGACACGGGTACCTTGGTGATTTTACAGGTGGAAATCTTAAGCTCTTTGCAACCAAGCTTACTTGGTTTGTCAATCACGATCCCACTTGTGGCCATTAAATTGCCTGATTGGTAGACGCGCCCTATAGCTACTACCTCCTTCTGAGGTTTAATTAGCATCTGGTTATCAATTTGTGCTGTCTGAGTACAGCAGAAATTCTTGATGTGGACTACGGCAATGTTATAATGTATACTGTAATGTTGCAATGTCCCTCTGGTATGACGATTATCTGGAAGGCACACTACAATCTGCAATTAATGATATGGTAAGACTAAACTAGTGATATCATGAATAAGTAGAAGGGGCAATTAAACAATTATTAGCAGAGTAACGACCTTAAGGTTATCAGCAACCTTGTTTTCATTGTCAGAAGTTCTAACCAAACTTGCCGAGGTCAGAACTCTTGTGGTGGACCCATTGCAGTCTATGAATACGCCAGTGCAAGCAAAACACCTTGTTTTTCCTACAAGAGTAATGACTCCGATAATTTAGTGAAGAAATTGGAAAAAGAATATTGAAAGTAAACGAGCTTATAATGAATATAATTACCACTGAATGAAGCCAATGCAACAACACTTTGAGACATATTTGAAGCAACGTTTCTTTCGAGTTTACTCCAGATATCTTCACTAAATTTCTCTTCAAAATTGTTAAGCAAACGCATGCCCGCTGGCAAAAGCAATAAAGATTCAGCAGTGGAGGGGAGCTGGAGAGACCAGTCAGATGACAGATGTTCCAACAGAAAAGAGTAAATATCAAAAGGACACGAATGAACTCACCATTCTGCCAAACTGGGAGGGGATAACCATTGGACCTCAGCTCCTTTTTTGTAGGAACGCCTAAATTTTGCAACATAGTTAAGTGATTGATGACCCCATGTATAATGATGGTCGGGAAAACTGCAAGCAACAACTCACCAAAACAAGGATAACTCGGCCGCCCAGAACATAAAGACTTCTGCTCTAATAATAATCTATCCATGAGTCCTGGTGCCACAGGGGTGAAACAATTAATAACTGTGACCAATGATCAATAGTTAACATTAAAAGTGACCAACCTGGTTGACATTCTGGATCACAGAGAGTACATATGGAAGGTTTCTGATCCTTAAGTTTCTCTCCCTTCCTTGAGCTGACTAAAATAGAGAAGGGAAATAAGCAGAATTTAGAACACTGAAAAGCAGTATGAAGGAAAGGAGTATATTCTCATATTCATATACTACACTGAAGTACTTAGAATGAACTAATTAATTAGCATATCAAATATGTTATGCTAGCATGATAATAGGTGCAACCATAAAACTAAGTATGTACCCAGATTCTACAAATGATTGTTGAAAATTAACATTGGCGGTGACTCTGGCGAGGAATTGCCTGATGATGTGATGATTGCGCACAATTTAACAATATTAAGGTGCTTTTCTCACCTTCTGAATCAGGCTTACAAGGTCTAGGAGATCTTTCAATTTTACTACCAGGTCCTTTCTTATTTGGAGCCCTGCAGCAGAATGCGATAAACTTGGTGGTCAGTGCTTTATATATAAAGCGGGGCAAGAGCCTTTTTCGGTAATGCGATAAACTCATTGGAGTAATACAGAAATCCACAAAAGTAAACATGGATGATATGTACGCATGGATACCAAACAATACAAACTTCAATGTTTAAAAGGGGCAAATCAGGAAAATTGTTGATTGGGGTCAGGCACTAAACAACAATACAATGGGGAAAACCCTAAAACCTAAATATTTATTGTGTTTGATTATTGTATAGACGAAAATATTTATTAAATATAAGTAGCTTAATATAGTGGAAAACTTTTCCCATGCATGTTGTGGTGAGTGACAAAAAAAAATGGAGATGATACTATACCAAACCTACCAGGGAACCTTCACTACCTTATCACTTGAACAAGTATTAATAGCTTAAACATGGACACCAGAGTCCCAGTTGAGTACAGGGCAACTGCGAGATATCATGACAAAACAGGTGATATGGATTGTCAAGGTCACACTGCAGCTTATCCAGCCCCAGATGTCACAAACAACTAATTTGTTATCAAGGGAGATGTTCTCAAATGCAGATCAGTTAGCAGATGCAAGTATTACAAAAAACATCAAAACAAGGCATTTCAGAAACTCTTTGGCATTCAGCATGAATGCTAGTACCACCAAACCTCGGCTACTGATGAGCGGAATTATTCTTATGTACTTAGTTCATTCATTTTGTATGCCTACCGATGTGTGGTCAGCTTCCTGGAAATTCCAGGTTGAATAATAAATTCGCAAGAAGCGGAACAGATGGCCTGTGGTCATCCAGGAATGTTTCAGTGCATGGCACTAATTCATCTGCTAAATAGTTCTCACTCGCTCGGTATTACAGTAATTGAGCATGTTGCTCCTCACTACATACCAAGTTGTGATCATCCTTTAACTGTTCTTAGCCTTGTACAACGCATGCAGTAATTTAAACAATGTGATTTCATATTCTAAGTAAAATTCCTGCACATTCTTTTAGAATGCATGAATTGTTAACACAATGTTTCATCAACAAATTTTCCAACAACGCTAGAGATTTATATAATGTGTGTTGTTAGCTGCAGTATGATGTCATAAGAAGCCACTATTGTATTAAGTGCACTCTTGATTAAGCTTTCCACCATTATTTATTTTCCTAAGCATGTGTGACCCATGTGCACAAAAACTAATAAGTGAGTATGGAGGACAAGAGTAGAAAAGCAATGAGTGAGTATGGAGGACATACATCCACTGAATTGTTTCCCTGAACTGCGACAGGAGTTCAAGAATTTTAATCCTTGGTAGGAATGGAGTCTCTTTCTCAGCATAAAAGTTCATCCCAATGAAGTCCCCATTAAAATCAACAAGGGGCCCTCCAAATCCAGTCTAGGAAAAGAATAAAGTGACAGTGAGCCAAGCACAAAGATTTAGCGATGCTGAACAAAGTTTGTATAATTGAAAAAAAGGAGTATTTTTGCCCACCCCCACCCCCAAAAAAGTCCAGTACATATCATGACACAGTTATTTATTTATTTTCACTATGTATAGAAAGCGAGAAATTAACACCGCACCATAGTAATTTCACATGTGGAGATGGCAAGCTCCTCCCGGTAAGCTCCTTGTGGATTGTCGGTCAACATCCCAGCTGTGGCCATTAGTTTTCCTGAGTTGAAGCAACGCCCTACGGCAACTACTTTACTGTGAGACTCAAATTGCCGCTGATGATCTAGACATGTTACTTGAAGAGAGCGGTAGTGACCGATGTTGATAACCGCAATATTGTATTTCAAATCGTAGGATTCCAACCATCCCAGTTCAAGTTTATTATCCGGAAGGCGCACTTCAATCTGCATCAATAAAGCAATGCAGCAAGTATATAGCCTAGTTAGCAGAATGATTAACATGATATTAAATAAGCAAGCAATAGTGTACAAAAAGAAAGTTTTTTTCAGGGTACTACAAAAAGAAAGTTGCCAGTACCAACCGTCATATCATGAAGGATCTTGGTGTCATCATCAATAGATCTAACCAAACTTAATGAAGTCAGACAACTTGTAAAAGTAGGATTGTTTACGATAATTATGCCCGTGCATGCAAAAAACACAGTGTTTCCTGCACAAGATGGTATTTCCAAATTCTCAATCATGAAGTATACTAACACGTAGACATAGATAAAAAATTGCAAAGCTAGTATTTATAATCACCATCAGCAAATGAAGCAAGCGATACAACAGTGCCCGCTAAGTTCGAGGCGACTTCTTCACTGAGTTCCGTCCAGACACCTTGACCAGAATCGCTTGAGCTGCCAAATTCCTGTTCGAAAGGATTGTCCGGATGCGAATTTCCTAGTTAGGGAAGCATCATCATGTTCATATCATACAACACAGTTCTGATCGTAAGTTGCAGAAGAAGGAACAAGCAGCAAGACTGAAACCAGACAGCCAGTGGCTCACCTCGCCAAGCTGTCCAAACTTTTTGTTTCTTGGTCTGGCTTCTCGTGCAAACGCCTTCTCGCTTCATATTTCCAGCCTGGAGCGGAAAGAACTAAATAAGACAGCTAGTCACTTTTTTTAGGATCAATGCAGAGTTTTGATTACAATCAAAGCAGAGTTTTGGTTACAATCATCCAACAGAGTAAATAAAGGAAATAAATTGAGAAATACTGTTGGCTCTAGCGAACGTGGATCAACAAATCATTTAGCCGCAAGGAAATCAATTGATCCTAAGTAAAAAAGAGGGGAGGGGGTTCAGCTAATCATTGGATGAAAGAAGCTCATACCGCAAAATCCAATGCCCAGAACTCGCGGCCGGGTGGAGACAGCTTGGAGAACCGCGATGGCGGCGGCGGCGGCGGCGCATGCGGGGGGTGGAGAGTGGAAGCGTCAGCCCTAGGGCACGCGGCGGTGGGTCCGGTCTATGTGTCAGGGATGGAGGGCTTGCGAGAGGAGGAAAACAAGGAACTGACGGTTTGGAGAGGATGATCAATTTTCACCAAAGGGCATCGTAGATAGGCCCCGTTTGGTAACAAAGTTTTTTCTAAGTATTCAGAGAATACTATAGTTTTTTAAAATACCACAGTTTTAATTCCTGAGAGCTGTTTGGCTATTAGAGAAAACAGGGGTATTAAAACTACAGTATATTAAAAACCACAGTTTTTTCTCTGTCTAAAAAAACAACCCTCGACCTCTTTTTTTAAAACTGAGCACGCGAAAGAAACGCTGCATCGCTCGTCTCCTTCCTGCCTTTAAGCCACGAGAAAATTCCTTATTTGACACTATCTTAAAATCTGCTTCCTTATTTGACACTGGAAAAAAATTTCTTCCCTATTTGACACAAGTTTTAAATTTTATTCCCTATATGATATTTCCGTCCATTTTGAGCCTAAATGGCACCTGAAAAGACTTTTTTGCCCCTCAT